TAGAAAATAGCTGGCAGTGTGGGGCTTCCAGATGAGCTTTGATGGCCTCATTCAGAGTGATAGATGAAGGTCAAAGGTTCACAGTGTGCTGTGCTGCTTTTTCTTCCTGTGTTCATCTCCACTGTCAGAGATGTATGTCCACTGTCACACTGGACCTTTTCAAACTTAATACTGAAAAACAACAGGGGAAATACTTTTTTCAAAGAGTTGCACATGACGTTCATTAGAAACAAAAAGTTGTGATAAGCAAGATTGTGTTTTTGAAGAATTAAAACTGCAATACTGTTATTAATCCACGTTGGCATTTCTAAAGCTCATACAGCATAAAATAGCACAATAGAAAAAGGAATATACTACAAGCTAATTACAAATATTTAGCATGACAGCATTAGAGGATCTACTGGACGCGTCTACCAAATTTGGACAATACATTGATGAGTAAAATCTTCCCTCTCTTGTCTTTGCCTTTAAAGTATTCAAATGTGTGACATATATATAGCAGCTTTCCCATCCACTGTGAAATCATCACCTTACTTCCTGTTGGTCGTTAACTGGCCGCTGCTGGTGGACTGATACTGTGACCTGATTGGCTCAGCCCAGGTTTTTTAAATTGGGCGATATAAAAATCTATAAATGCCTGGAGGTTCAGTTGTCCTGAGGCAGAGCCAGTCAGATCTGATCCAACATGACTCTGTGGTCCGGTTAAAAGCTTTCCTAGACCAGAGGGACGTGTACTCTCTGATCTGGATCAGCAGGGTCAACCTCATGATGACAGGAGGGGAATATTAATGACCATGAACACAATACGACAAGTTCTCAAAGCATGTTTTACAAAATACAGTATTTGATCTGACCTTATCAGTAAGTAGAGAGGTTGAATCTTTATTTTTGGTGAAACACAGCAACAATCTTTCAATTACAGCTGCAGCTAATGATTCGTTTCATTATCCTTCACCAGATTTAGTTGTTAGTCTGAAAAATTTCAGAATCCAAGACTTAGACTTAATATTTATCAAATTAAACTGCGAACAGAGGATATTTGAATACATGATTGAAACTTTCGTTATATTATCAACAGTGTTGGCTATTAAATCTTAAAGGTGGGGTAGGTAAGTTTGAGAAACCAGCTCGAGTGCGCTAGAATTTTGAAAATACACAGCCGGAAAAAATCTGCCACTTCCTTACAGAGCCCCTCCTCCAACACACACGAACACGCACATGACCAATGAGGGCACGAGATAAGTTTGTGCACAGATGGAAGGCTGACAGGCAGGTAGGCCATCCAGTTATTTTAGCTGGGCCGGCTAAAATGATTGGTCGTGCTTTTTACAGTATTACAGCTTCCACAGATTAAAAATTGTTATGGATTTAAGACTTAAGATATTCATTGCTATCGGGATGTTAAGAGCATTCCATGGAATATAACAAAAAGTGTATCTCGAGCCGGTTTCTCAAACTTACCTACCCTACCTTTAACTCTAGATATACTCTCTAACAATATTTTTGTAAAGACAGTAGGTCTGAAAAGACTCGTCAATCAATGAATTAGTCAACAATTTGGAAACCTGATTAATACAATTATTATTCTCTTGTTATAGAATAACATGGTTTCTGAAAATGTCCATCTTAAAAATGTAATTCAATCCCAGCTATAAATCCTTTTTTTTTTAAATATATAAACTGTAAGCGTTAGGTTTTTGATAAAACATTTTCACAGTGGTCAGGTTTTTAATTTACACGCACATATGATTAAACAACTAAGAATATAAATAAAATGGGAGACTTGTCTCTGGAGTTGTGCAGTGATATTTGTTCAGGTTCAGCGCATTATGCTGAAGGGCTGGTGGGCTGTGCACAGAGCATGCATGCAGTACATGGAGAAGCTTTTGTGCATTGACACAGACCTTTCAATTAAAGTGTGAGAAATATTTCCCCTGAGCCTGTATCGGTTTTCCTCAGCATGCAGAGGAGAATATTGAATTGTAATTTTTCTAACTGCAAAGACAAACTCTGCATGAAGGCCACGCTCAATATAACACAACGAGAAAGTGTGTGTGTAAAAGATGTGCATTTTACAGTCGCACACAGATGGAGACAGTTAGGCCAGCCCACTCAGAGGGGACCCTTTGTGTAGCAGCTCGGAACGTACCATTCCACAGAGACCACAGGGGGCAGGGTTACAGCCGGCTCTGTGACACATGCACACCAACGCCAGCATGCTCTGAAGAAACTGAAACTTTGACTTTAATTAAATGTCAACAGATTTCACATAACTGTATTAGGTTAGTGAAAGCAATAATATCAAGTTTAAAGTGTGCACATGGACATTATCACTGGTTTAAACCGAGGTGGAAGAATAACTCAGATTATTTACTTAAGTAAAAGTTCCATTACTACATTGTAAAAATACTCAGGTACAAGTAAGAGTCCTGCATTCAAAACTGAACTAAAGTAAAACTAAGTATCGACATTTAAATAATACTTTAAGAAACAAAGGTAAACATAATTATTATGCAAAATGGCCAATTTAAGCACCAGATATATTTTTTTATTATTTTATTCAAATGATTGGTGCATTTATGTGTTCATCACTTCAATGTTGCACTTGGTAAAGGTGGAATTTATTGGAACTACTTTATACTTAAGCAATAGCTCACAACAGGCCGTGGTATATGCTCAGTATATCACAGCTAAGGGGCGTGGTTCGGCCCGACGCGAAGCTCCTGATCAGCCTGTCGGTGTTCTTTTCCCCATAATGACCGCGTCGCTGCACATTATCCCTTACTTATTGCGCACCCACTGAAAAGTTTTTCTCAGACGCGGAGGGATACTGACTTGTTGTGAAAAGTAACTACAATTCTACCCGTGGTATACGCTCATTATATCATGGCTAAGAACCAATCAGATTGCTTGATTTGACTTGTCCGTTTTATAAACTACGTTAACCTATAATAATATATTATAATGTGTGTCAAATATTTGTGTTAATTAATTAATAACTACAGTAAATATATAAATCTAGCTGGAGTAAAAAGTACAGCAAGCGTAAGTAGAGCGCCAGGGAGCAGTTGGGGGTTCGGTGCCTTGCTCAAGGGCACCTCTGCAGGGCCCAGGAGGTGAACTGGCACCTCTCTAGAGAGTAGTATTGTACATCAATTTCTTACTTAGGTACAGTACTTGAGTAAATGTACTTAGTTACAGTACACCTCTGGGTTTACGACACAACCTGTGCACTTTGCAGTCCTGATCATTATCCAACTTGTTCCTGAGATGTCCCTTCTTCAGGCAGCTTCAGTTCACCTGCTGCTGATATATAATTCATCACAGTCAACATTCAGTCAGCTCTGATTTGATTCACTTGTTAGTGCAGATTGAACAGTCTGCTCTGCTCTGCCAGGCAACAACAACTGAGCTTTGACAGAAACAAAAACAGACATGACGCTCATTGTGATGGATTAGGTATCTGCACAGATCTGTATTGAAATGGAAGGGTAAGACAGTGAATGCAGGGGAAACACATGGATGGATACAACTTTACAGTAGTTACAAAGGAGCTAGGAGTTAATCAAGAATGGCCTGATAATAAATGGTTATTGAGTAGTTTCTGAATAATTCTAGATCCAGAGTACCAACAGTAGATCGTGTTGATGACAATAATTATATAATAACAGTAATTGTGGATGTCATGGGTTGACAGTAATCACTGATGGAGTGATTGATATGCCAAAAGATATCAAAATGTCTCGGTTAAACCAAGGAGTAATTATTTGAAACATCCAACACACTCAGCCTGAATCAGAACTGTTGACTCTTTGAGGGCCAATGGTCTGAAGACTCAACCATCTGTTTAGTTATTTTGATCTTTACCTCAGATTTTCTCACAGTCAGAACATAAGAATTGTGCTCCCTAGTCATAGTAAAGTTACTCAAACTTAAAGCCTGCATCTCTGTGATAGTATAACACTACACAGCAGTACTCATAATAGCATAGGGTTGTAGTAAAGAGCATCAGAGCAGCGAACGCATTTTGTATCACTCTTTTTTCATAACTTTTAGTGAAGTCATTATGAACCAAAACAAGGTTTATACATTGTATAGCTTGAAATGCTGCCCTCATGTACTTCTCTTTGACGCAATTACATTGGGTTTGAATGGGAAGCTTTGTGAATGATGAATTTATTGTGGCCACCATGTATAAAACCAGTGTTTCAACCATGTTTCAGCGCAGCATTAGAATCCGCTTCAAATTGACATCTAAAAGAGATTTACTGAAAATCTATTTCTCAAAGAGTCATTCTGTTCAGCTTCAGTAGTTTAGTAGATGCTGTTCTTTGGTGTAGTGATGTGTAAAACCTTTTCTATGGCAAGTGAAGCGAAGGCTGCTGCTTATACGTTGATCTTTAAAGAGACCACACCTAACCAGGAGTGTTATAAAGCCTACAGCTGATACAATTTAAGTTCCTGCACCGTATTCAGCTGAGCTCAGTCAAGACTTGCCAAGATTGAGCGCAGTGTTGTTGATCGATGTGACCGCTGCAGCAACAGCAAACCGCGCTCATATGTTCTGTTTTTGTTCCAAATTAAAAGACTTCTGGGCTTATGTCTTTGGTACCTTATCTAAAGTTCTTGGAATTGAAATGAAGCCCCGCACTTAGAGTATATTATAGTGTTTGGGGTTCCAGGGGACCTGCTCACTTTGACTGCCAAACAAGGGGACATAGTGGCATATACAGTACATCTCTATTAGCTAGTCGCAGAATTATACTAGATTGGAAATCCCCTAAGCCCCTATCGTCTTAAGGACCTGGTATTCTTTCTAAACCTTAAGATGAAATATACTGTTGGAGGATCTGTAGACCGTTACTTAAAGAAATGGCGATGGCTTTGGATTGAAGATTTGTTGTCTTAAAATTGTGACCCTTTATGATTGTTCCCGTTCTTCAATAAAAACAATTGAAACTAAATTGGTGTGTAACGTGCTCTATTTATCTGTCTTTCAGGTTTACGAGCAGGACGACCTCTCGGAGCAGATGGCCAGTCTAGAAGGGCTGATGAAGCAGCTCAACGCCATCACCGGCTCCGCCTTCTAACCCTCTGACCCCGGATCGGCCCAGCCATGGTTCACTCTGGAACCCGTCTTCAAGCCCTGATGTCACCTGCTGTCCATTTTCCAAGGGGGGCAACATGTCCATCTGGGACTGAAGACTGTGGAACGGGACCTCTCTGTGCTGGGTTGAGTGTGTTTGGTTTCTACTTGTCTCGGCTGGTGTCTTCTGTTTGGGATATGATGGAAGGAATAAAACGGATGAACACTACAGCGGCACAGCATCAACTCCAAGAACAGGACAAGGGTGGAGGGGCTTCTTTAGGAGTTCAAACTGAAACCCATCTACACTCTTCAACCTCAAAAAACAAACCAGAAAAACCCAATGCTTAGCCCCCGGGCTTACTTACACAGGAAGATGGGATTATCACAAAAAAGACAAAGTTCTAATATCCCTCCTGTTTATCTTCTTTTTGGTATTTATTAGCGTTCCTCTCCGCTGAGTTCTACAAACTCAGTTACTGTGACTGTACCTCACTGTTGTTCATCATCGCTGTGGGAAGTATTCCTTTTGTCCTTCTTTGGTATTCCACCTTTGTGCAGTTTGTGCACCAAAGTGTCTCCAAAACCTTATTTGTGTCATTAAGATCCAAAGTCGCCACAAAATGATTCTCTCCAGCATATTTTTGCCTTTTCTCTATATCTCTTTTTTTCTATCAAACAGAACTGTATGATTTTACTGGACGACCATCCCTCATATCCCATGCAGCCCTTCCACCTCTGGATTCTGAGGTTTAAAAAAACAGGCAGAAACACGTGTGGGAACATTCTATAGTGGTCTGACCTCTCCTACAGGACTGGATGAAGCTCTGTAGACCCCCACAGTCTGCTGCTGCTCTTCACCAAGCCTGGACTCACTGAGACCTCCCATCTTTACCGTCAAGCACTCGTGCCAAATTCTCGTCTTGAAAACTTGTGGAAACCATTTTTTTTTCTTCGCTCCTTGTTCAAGCCTGCCTAACCAACCGAGTGAATGGAAAGCAGAAAATATGATGCGTGTGAAAAACGGTTATTAGAAATGTAATGTATATGAAGGTTGGTTTTTAAAGGTACATGGTGATTGGTCCTTTTGATAAAGGTGTTCAAATGCGTTCTTAGCACCTCATTCACAATTTGTCACGTTGGATTCGATAAATGTCACAGTCAGTGCAAGGTGTCGCCCCCTGCTGCTTGGAGTACTGAAGAACAGTGCTAATGCAGAGAAGTGAAGCGAGACTGTGGTGTTGGCTTTGGTACACACGTTCATTTGTTCAAGAGGAAGTTCCATTTTAGATGCCCAGTCATTGTAGTGAGTTATATAAAACATACATCGGCTGCACCGACTAACACAATGCTATTTATCAAAACATTATCAAAATTATAATCCCCACAATCTCATTTGGTTTTCTTAATTAACTATACAAATACAATTAGGTGTTCTTGTGATGTAATCAATTGTAAAGGAGGTTGTATAGCAACAGGATCAAGAATCAAGTTATTATTATTATTATTGTTGTTGTTGAGATTAGAGAGGCCAGTGGGCAGCAGATGATGGTGTGTGTTTGGAGGCTGCTTTTGATGAATCCATATTTATTTTTCACCAGACAAACACACATGTACCTCGTCCACCTGGATCGCCCACACGGCAGAACCGCCTGCTTCACTTTGAGTTTACTTCAGGGCGTTCCGTTTTTATATAAAATAAAGGAAACAAAATGTGAGAAGAACATGCACACGAATGCATATTCCACAAAGTATATTTTTGCATATGCTGTCCTGTCAGAACTGTGTTTTTTTAATCAGGTTTTATCAAACACACTTCCACAGAGAGCTACTGTTTCATGAGCCACGATTCAAATGAACAGCTCATTGTGCTGGGTTTGAGGACGCCCTCTGGAACATGAGGTCAGAGAGCATCCACCTTCACTTCTTTAAAACTACATCTGTATTGACAGCAGGAAAGAGAAATCAGATTTGCATAATTAGTGTGAGAATAAATGGGCTGTGATATTTTTGGAGTGTGCACGAATGCAGTTAAAATAACAAATGATTCCTTAATCAGGGGAGGGGGAAATGGGCCATCAGTATGCTCCATATTTGACTGTGTAACCCCAGCCACCATATTGTCATTTTCAGACCTTTATCTTTGTGCGATGAAAGGAGGAAGCCTGGGGGAGACAGAGAGAGTGAAGCAGAGGAGGTGAATTGATATTCAGAGGTGGTTTGTATGTGCGAGCGAGGGCACGGACGAACGAGGCAGAGAATTCATTATGAAGCCGTTTCAAATATTATCATTCAAGCTCACGTTCACTGGGCTGTTAGGGCTATGGGGAAAAGTCTTGCGGATGGAGGGATGGAAAGGTAACGTCTCTGCAGAACGAGCATGGGATGAAAGGTGAGGGAGCGCAGGCAGGCGGGCAGTGTGGGATCAAACTCATCAGCGTGTTCTGCCAGAAACATCCAGTCTGAGCCAGCTTTATACAGAGTCACACTCCTCTCCTCCTGCAGACAGATGGAAGGATCCAACGCTGCCGGGCCACACTGAGATTCCATTTAAAGAAAGAAAATCTGATTCCAGCAGAAAATTCTAAATGAAATGTCTTGCAGTGTCAAAAGGGGAAAATACATATGAAAACAGAGGAAATGAGTTAAAGGGTCAAATTGAAACACATTTTAGTTCATCAAACATAACTGACTGTTCTCTAAATCATCCATTTCCTCTGCATAGATGTACACTACTATCACAAGTTGACAGTGTTGATGTCGACTGTGAGGGTTTCTGTTTCTCAAAACGGAACCCTGAGTCATGCTGGGTCCAAATCGTTCTACTGGGTCTCAGGTGTGTATGTGAGAAGGCCTTATGCCCTCCTGTTCTCTTTATCTGACTAAAATGAATCATCGTTGTGACTCGGCCAACAGAAACTAAATCTCTGAAAGGTGATTTTCCTGGAAATGAACTGAAAGCAGGTTGGAACGTATTTAAAAACCTATGTAGGATTTAGAAAATGATCAGCATATGAACATTTCCAAAGTTTTATTTACTAAGGCTTTGAACTTATTATTGATAATTCTACTTAAGTATTCTCATCATTTGAATGAAGAATAGAATTAGCTGTTCACCTGTGTCATCGTCCAGATGTCTGATTAAAAGTCACGAGGCCTTTCCGTTGGGGAGTTGTGTGTGTCCAGCTGACTGGACACACACTTCTTATCATGGTTCATTTGTCCTTACCCGTTTTTGTTGACGTCAAGATACATAGGACATCCTACGTGCCTTTATTGTTCTTTCTCTGTATTTACTCACTTTATTTGAAGCCTCTGTGAATTTCAAAAAATGTGCTGGGTGTATGTTCATTTGTTCCTCCAGCACGGCCGACACAGAGGGAATAGATGAGACGTTCTGCTCTGCTCAGGGTTTTCCCCAGAAGCACTGTGTCCCTTTGAAACCGCCCGAAGAGAGCTAATGGTTATTTTACTTCAGTGGCACCGATGCAGCATTTCAGCAGCTGGCTGGAAACAGAAACATAGGCTATGCGTAGAGGAAAGAAGACTAAACGAAGGGAACCTGCGGTATCCTTTAAAACTTTAAAAAGGAAAGTGTTGACATGTTATGGGTGGATGAGATCAGTTGAGTTTAATAGAAATAATGAAAATCACTGCCTGTTCCAGGGGAAGAGAATACACCTGAACGCGTTGAAAAGGACAAGTATTTGATTTAAAGTTAATGATACATCCCAAAATAATAGAATGCATTTCCAACTGATCCCAGAACAGTGAGGTAACATTTTCTCCTCAAAAACATGTTAATAAAGAGTCAACTTTACCATTCAGTGCCAGTGAAACACAGACCAAATTCATTGTGTCATTTATGAGTGGAGACAGTTGGACTTTTTTTAACACAGGAGATTAAAGGAGGCGGTTTTGATGTTGTGCATATTTCTGCGTTAAAGTGAACACCTTCTTGTTTTTCCTGTTGGCTCTACATGTGTGTTTTACTGTGGAGAGACGTGTAGCTGCAGCAGAACTACATGACAGAACGCTGCTTTTTTACAGTGTACAGTTCCAATAGAGTAGTAACTTTTTTATAACCAAATTTAATATATTGTTATTATTATTATTTCTTTATTTCGAGTGCTCTTTAAAAAATATTATTTATAACCATGTGAAACGTTAATTTAGTTTAGCAAAGAACAAAATGAAAAAGGACTGAGGAGGTTTGTGTTTTCATTTTCATTTGTTGCCTTAAAATGTTTTAGTATTTTTTTTTTTAAATAATATTGTAGGACGATTATTTCTAAAGCAAACCTTGAAATGGTTTGTCACTCTGAGGACACACAGTCACCACTCTTTAGTTTATTTTCAGTCTATAATATGTAGGTCAATGCCATCTATGCAGTTTTCATTTCTAACTATAACCTGTATATAATGTTAGGGTCGTGATGGTGATCCAGCAGTAGTGTAACAGCTGAGGTCTAGGTCATTTTGGGAAGAATCTTGGTTAATATTTATCACAGCCAACTTTTAGTCCAAGTTAGTAAAACATGATTTGTATTTGATGGATTGAAACACACCTGGTCCTTTACAAAAACCTGGTTCTGTGGTGACTGTGTGAAACTCAGAAACACCAACCAGACCTGATCAGGTGGAAACTGTCTCCAAGGGAAACTCAACTTCATTACCTTCTTTCTTTTGGGGCTTCACTCCTCTGTGGGAAGCATTGAGGATCAAAATGGGACAAATTACACTGTCAAAAAAAACATGTGAAGTTGGTCAGGGGTGTGCTGACTTTGAAAGTGTCCTGATGGTGTGAAGTCTCCTCCGCCAGCTCAGCGCCACGGCTTTCAAAAGAGAAAAATAAATAATGGGGGTGGGAAAAAAAGTAAAGAATGATTTCGACCCCATCTCATCAGGGTGAAAGGGGCCAAATTAAAGCGGCCCTTATCTCCTCTCACACAGACAATTACTTCGTTTCCAGAACATCATTGTTTGACAGAAGAGAGTCAGAGTCTCTGAGTAAATACACTTTGACTTTGCCCTTTAAAAAATGTCCAATCCTAAAGTCATTATAACCAAATTAGCTTAGTGACGGCAATATAAGACTGTACATTTAGTCATTCTAGTGAGGACGGGGACAGATGATGGGATTGTGATGATGATGCTGATGATGATGCTGATGATGATGAAGATGATGATGATGATGATGAAAAAGTGAAGTTTCTATCCACAATGTTGTATACAATTGCTGGTTTTGTAATGCACTGTAGAACAGTCCCATGATCCTTTTTTATAGAAATGTTATTTCAATTGTGCATTCTTTTGGTTTGATAAATAAAGTTTTGATACAAAAGCAAATGCAGTGTTTGAGAAGTATTTTTGCACCACATAAATGTGTTTCAACAATGTGTGTGACATTAACTCAGTGTTGTCAGTATTCACGTGACAAAGGGCAGGAGCAAAGGATACAGATGCATGCGAAGACTCACATAGTTAACTTTGGAACTCTACAACAATCCCATGTTTGATGTTCTGCTAATATGTTCTGTTTGTCATTGTTCAGTCATTGTTTTTCAAAAGGGCTAGTTGGCCTTTTCATTCAATAATAATAATAATAATAAATGGAATTTATAAAGCGCCTTTCACGGGACCCAAGGTCGCTGTACATTTCGCTCTATATTTTAAAAAGAAAAATATACACTTTAATCTTCAGTACATTGATTTTAAGTAACAATACATTAACTGAAACAATTACAAATACAATTGGGTATCATCTGCATAACAGTGAACGTTTATACAGTGCATGGTTTCTACAAGTATTGCCCAAAGGAAACTACGGTGGCCCGGAAGTGCAAGACACCACAGCATTTCACAAAACACAACAGCATTTCACAAAACGCCGCAGCATTTCAGAAAACACAACAGCATTTCAGAAAACACCACAGCATTTCACATTGGACGGAAAGGGTATTCCTTTAGGGAGAACTCTTCTTGTTTGTGATTGGACAGAGCCAGCCAGAGAAGCACTGCTGTGATTGGTTGTTTTTGCTGCCAGTCAAGAAATGACGCTTCGTGATTGGTCAGCACCCGACAGCGCAACATATCCCAACACATCAGCCGTTAGCTGTTAGCACACACTCAGAGCTCACAGCTCCTCATATCTGTTCAGAAACTGGACAAAAGTTAAACAAGTACAAACCACAGACTGTCTGTGTCATGGCGAATACAGTCGCTGCTTTATTTATGTCTGTATGACGTTGTTGTGACTCGTGAGTGTGGACGGAGCAGCTACAGGTTCATTTAGCCTGATCGATCCGCCCCCTCTCCAGCACGTCTTGTTTGAATGACAGGAGTAAACACTGACAGCTGCGGTGAAACTCGAGCGATTAGAGCGATGCGAAAAAACCATGAATTAATGCTTTATTAATTCATGTTTTTTAAGGGGCTTATCTCCATGTAAATACTATGGTAGACTACCCAATATTCGCATCGCTCTAATCGCTCGAGTTTCACCGCGGCTGTCAGCTGTGTTTGCTCATGTCATTCAAACAAGATGCGCTGGAGAGGGGGCGGGGCGTATCTCCATGTAAATCCTATGGGAGATACCAACTACAACAAAATGAACATATTGACCGTGATTTAATTGTAATACACGTTTCAAAGTGATGCCGAAGTAACTACATACTGATACCGGTTAGTAAAAACCATGAATTAATGCTTTGACAAGTCTGCAGACAAGACGGCAGGCGAAAAGCTTTTAAAATGTGTGTTTTCTGAATGGAATCGGATCCATCAGGCTAAACTAACCTGTAGCTGCTCCGTCCACACTCACAACAACGTCATACAGACATAAATATAGCAGCGACTGTATTCGCCATGACACAGACAGTCTGTGGTTTGTACTTGTTGAACTTTTGTCCAGTTTCTGAACAGATATGAGGAGCTGTGAGCTCTGAGTGTGTGCTAACAGCTAACGGTTGAGGTTGGGACATGTTGCGCTGTCGGGTGCTGACCAATCACGAAGCGTCATTTCTTGACTGGCAGCAAAAACAACCAATCACAGCAGTGCTTCTCTGGCTGGCTCTGTACAATCACAAACAAGAAGTGTTCTCCCTAGAGGAATACCTTTTCCATCCAATGTGAAATGCTGTGGTGTTTTCTGAAATGCTGTTGTGTTTTGTGAAATGCTGTTGTGTTTTGTGAAATGCTGCGGCGTTTTGTGAAATGCTGTTGTGTTTTGTGAAATGCTGTTGTGTTTTCTGAAATGCTGTGGTGTTTTCTGAAATGCTGTTGTGTTTTGTGAAATGCTGCGGCGTTTTCTGAAATGCTGTGGTGTTTTCTGAAATGCTGTTGTGTTTTCTGAAATGCTGTGGTGTTTTGTGAAATGCTATGGCGTTTTGTGAAATGCTGTTGTGTTTTGTGAAATGCTGTTTTGTTTTCTGAAATGCTGTGGTGTTTTGTGAAATGCTATGGCGTTTTCTGAAATGCTGTGGTGTTTTGTGAAATGCTGTGGTGTCTTGCACTTCCGGGCCACTGTAGGAAACATATCCTTATATAATGTGACTGAAATAACTAAAACAAGTCCTTTTCTTTAGTTTATACTGTCTTATTGTAACTCAATTACTTGTGTTTACTGATTAAGAGTTATATATCACACAGGCTCCGCCCTCTACTGGACTCTATGGGTACTACTCTCTATCATGCTATGCGTGCATTCACCTACTGAGTTGCATAAATGTAGCCGGCCAATCGGGGCGAGCCTACCTGCGCGCAGGCCCACAGTATATAAGGCGGCTACGCCTCCCGACCGTCATCCTTTTTCTCTTCAGCGAGCAGCAACAACTGAAGCTAAACGTAAGAAGATAGATAGAAGAAAGTGAAAGAATATGGACTCACCACTCCTTGAACATCGGCCTTGCCCTATATGCTCTGGCTTAATTGCGGGCGCTGATGCCCACCGCTTGTGCTCCGGGTGTTTGGGGCCTGACCACGCGGTGGAGGGCAGGAAACATTCTCCGTCCTGCAGTGCCTGTCGTGCGCTCCCGCGTCTCGGACGCCAACATCGCCTGGAACACTTCCAGGCGCATTATGTCTCGCCGAACGAGGCGCAGGACCAGGAGGAGCTCGAGGTGGTCGAAATGGAGGAATGCCCCGTTTGTCGAGGAGGAAGAAGACAAGGACTTCTCGTTGTCGGGCGCTTCTGGGTCCGGCGTCCACGAGGGTCCACCGCGCAGATCTGCCAGTCAGGATTTCCCGCTGGTGATGGCCATGGCGGCGGAGCGTGTGGGTCTACCGCTCCCCCCTCTGCTACCACCCAAACCGGTGAGCCGCCTCCGTCAGGGGTTTTATGGCCCGGTTCAGCCAGCCCAGCCGGCCTTTGTTTCGCCCCCGTTGCCAGATATCTGGCAGTATGTGGAGGCGACGTGGTGGCATCCTCTGAAGACGAGGGCTCCGGTGGCTGGCATGGCAGGTTTGCTCAGGGTGCAGGGCCGCACGGACACAGCTTGTCCCGGTGTGCCCCCCCTCGATGAGAGCCTGGCGGCCCATCTGCTCCCACAGGAGCACACAAGCCCCCGCCTCCCCGTCTCAGGAAGACCGGAGTGATTATTCGGGCCGCTGCATCGGGCAGATTAATAATCTGGTCCATGGTGTAGCCGCCGCAGCTGGCCGTGTGATGTCCCTGGCCACAGTGGGATCACGCCACGTGTGGTTAGGACTCACGGCGCTCTCCAAGAAGGACCGTGATGATCTCCTTGGGAGTCCCCGCATCCACGGAAGGGCTCTTCGGATCGATCACCTCGGTCACGCAGCGCTTCAGCCGCTTAGAGGAGGAAAGAGCGCAGCTCAGCCGTATGCTGCCGCTGGCTCTCCCTCAGAGGGGTGAGCGTGAAGTCACGGTGAGGAGGAGAGAGAGGCGGAGGTACAGAGCGCCCACGGCTCCCGCTGCCTCTCCTGCTCCCTCGGCTGGTTCTACGAGGCGGGTTCAATTCCAGCACCCGCGGGGCCAGGCCGGGCGATCCCGACGAGCCTCTGTCCCGGCTCCACGTCAGCAGAGGGCTTCGGGATGGGGTGCACCGTCCTCCCGGAGATGACGGGCGGTGGGAGGAAGTGTCCCGGCGGAGATGGCTTTCTCCACCCAGGACGCGAGGGCGAGTCCCGCCTCCTCCCTCTATGATGTGTCAATACTGAAGAATGCTTTTAATAAAAATGATTGCATTTATCCCAGTCTAAGAGTCATTCCTCTCCACAATTACACACTTCACCATAATGTTGTCTGTACAGATTCCCCACTCGCCGCCCCAGTTGTAACTCCAGTAGAGGAGGCAACCAGCGGGCGCGCGCATGGGAGTGTGATAAACCGCAGGAAGTGCTATCAAAGCGCTATGCGAGTGCAGGGGCATTATGACCAACGTGTTGTTGTTAGGAGACACACCGCACCTACAGATGTAGCACTCCAGATAGGACTCCAATGGGTGTGTCCCAACCAAAAACCCAGCGGATCCCAGTGGCTGGGGCGTTGCCAAATTGCTAGAGAGCGTTGCCAAATTTCCCCATTTGTTCAATTACAGGATTTAACCATGAGATGGCGCTTCATTCACAAATACACACAGACAACTTGGTGTTGTAGAACTTAGTCTGTTTGCAATGTTGCAGCTCTGCAGTTGTGTTGCTGAATACTGTAGCATTTAATCACTTATTTGTTATGGTTTTCACAAGCTGCTATAACGAAAAAACATCAATATTTTAGAAAAAATAAAGTATATCTAATCTTATTATCTTAATTGTAATTCAATAATATATAGTCTTTATATATTAAATAATCATAATAATGTAAATGTTTACACTTCTTTATTTGTTATGCTCATACTTTTACCTTTACAATAGTTTGCTTTATGCAGTATATTTTTTGTAATATTGTTGTGGTGTTTTTACACAGTACAGTAGATCGAAGTAAATCAACTTATACATTAAGATAATATAAGATAAGATGGACCTTTATTAATCCCCATGGGGAAATTCAGTAGTTCAAACAGCAACAGGGTGAGAGTGAAAAACAGGACAGCACAGATTCACACAGATTAATAAAATCAAAAATAAGATCATCGATAAAAATAAAAATAATAATGAGAAAATATTAAATAAGTGAATACAATTAAAATGTAATTATAATATCATATATTATATAATGTATTGTATTATTAAGTAATATCATACATTAACCCTATTATAGCAGATGCCACATTGAATGGATGAACACATTTATGCATCAATAATTACAACAGAGTATTTCTAAATACAAGTTGTAAAAATACTTATATGTATTTAATACTAATAACATAATGATTAATTTCAGATGA